AAAAAAACACTTGTAATAGCTGACTAGTGTTAGTCTGACCCCAAAATGGACATAATTACTTAATGTGAACCTTATCAAAAAAATTTAGACAACAAAATTTAAGAGTAAAATTAATGATAATTTGATTATTTTTGTGATAAAAAGTTCATTATTTTTTTGGGTTGTTGATAATAGTCTAATCTAAATGTAACCCTATTATTTTAGAGTTGTTTTGAGCTGTGCTCAACTCAAATCTTATTATACTTATTTATCCAAACTCAAAATAATTGTGAAATATTAACTTAAAAAAAATTATGATACCATATATATACAATACTGACACATTAATGTTATATCATATTGACACAGCAGGTTATGTTGTCCCTCCCTTTTGACTACAAAGGGGATTGAGTACAACCAATTTAAATGGATTAGAGATGTAGGAAGATTATGCTAGCTAGGCAATGATCAATTTAGTCTAATCTCACCTAAATTGGTTGCATCTTTTGAACTTGCACTGCTCGGGAAATCCTGTATCTCTCCATAAGCTGGAGGTAAATCAATGTAGCATTGTTCTCATAATTCATCTACCGGTGTTTTAATTTGCAGACACTATAAATATAAATAGCTAGACATAACATCAATCAATAATCTAGCAAGATTTAGGGTTTGTTTGGGGCATCTGCAACTTATTAATAAGTTGTTGTACAACAGCTGTCACAGGAAGCTGCTATGAATAAGTTGTCTGTCTATTTATTTTTTGCAGTTTGAAAACAGTTGTGCCGCGGAATAGCCTAATATGATATAGTTAAACTAGCTATTGAGCACTACTTGCTTCTCAGCCTTCAGGAAACTTGTTCTAGTTAAGAAATTAGTAAATTTTTAGTGTAAGAGAAATTGTTCAATCAGTAAGTCATCATCTAAACCATAAATTAACAATTTATTCAAAGGCACTACAGCGATCGTAAAAAAAAATATTAAAATTTGTGTTAGTTGATTTATTTTATTTTGATGACATAAATTTAATAAAATGGTTTATTTTTTCATTGATTATTTTTATAATACAAATTACAAAAAAAAAATTTAAATGCACGGCTACAATGAAGAACTTGAGATAGGATGATGCATGCAAGATCTCATCCGTAAGCGCAACGCATCTCATCTAAGATGGTGATTTTGAGGTTAAAAAGGGTTGGTGATGACAGACTATTATTTTTCGAGATCAGTACAATGCATCAGGACATCAGTGATCATGGCCAGATTACGGTAAACAGGTACAACCAAGGATGGGTAACTGTAAACCTTAAAATAATATTTATTTATTTATTATTTTTTCAAATAAATAAATAAATTTGCTCCCCTCCCCTTCAATAAAACTTCATGTCCAATATTTAATTAAAAAAATAAAAAAAAATTGAGAGAAACAGTGTTTGACTTAATTATCAATAATGTGGTTTATTTTATTATTTTTTGTTGATATTAATTTATATATATATATATATAATGAATTGTTCATAATAAAAAAATGACTAACTTAATCCTAAAAAGAATAAACACTCCACAAATACAATATGACTACTACAAGAGACAACACAAAAATATTATAAAACCCATGAAAATTGAATATGATATTTTATTTTTCATGTATTCCACCCATTTTTCAACTTCAAATGAAAAAATATATATATATCTAAAATACTTCTAAGATCTACATTTTTCTTTCTCTTAAATCATACACCAATTATTTTTCAACTGCAAATGAAAAAAATATATATCTAAAATACTTCTAATATCTACATTTTTCTTTCTCTTAAATCATACACCAATGAATTAAATACACACAAACAATACAACACAAATTCCAACTTAGAAAAAAAAAAAAAAAGGAACATACTCAAATTACTTTCATTTGAAAACTGTCAAAACAGAAGCCTTGAATGGGCTTCATCACGCAAACCAACCGCAATCTACCAAACTCTCGTCATCCATGACGCATATAAATCTAAACCCTACTGCACTGACTTTCAAGACAGTGCACGTTCATTTGTGACGAATGCACGTACGACACCTTCTCAGTTCCCATTTTTTGGGAATCTGTCCGCTTCGAATCTAAAGCTAGACGACAAAGGAACTCCTTCTTCCCCTCCACCGCCACCGCCGGCGGCCGGCCACCCACCGCCAAAGTGATCAACTTTAACAGCTTACTCATGGAATACTGTCTTTCCTCCACAGAGCTGACGGACGACTCTACTCCAGCAATTTCACTGAATCGGCTCAGCTCTACCACATGCTAATCGGCGGCGAAGCTTATCATCTGGATAAGAGAGTGAAATAACCAAGGGATGTTAATTGCCACAAGAGGATTAATGAAGCTAGCTAGTGTTATGTATTAGAAATTAGAGTACATGTATAGTATTTGTAATAAAATTTATAGTAAATACCCCTTATTTTCTTAATATATAGTTCTCATTGACGGTGGGGAAAGTAGAGGGCATAATATCAACAACATCTGGCCAGCCTCAAAATAAGCTAAACTACTTTAAAAATCTAACTTGCACCTAATCATTCGTAAAAACATGACTAGCACAAACTATAATAAGACTTCACATACATATCACTGAATTCTTATACATTTTATGTATTTTCACACACATCTTGGATACATCCTGCACGATACCACATGCTTCCCTTAGACGAAGAAGAGCTACAGGAAACTAGCTAGCGAGCTCACACCCACGACTGCCCCCACTGCTGTCCTCCAAGGTCCATCGAGCCCCTTCCTCACCAGTGCTAAGTCATCTCTGGCTTTTCGTAGCCGGATCCAAGGCAACCTTGTCGACCAGAATGGCTTGATGGATTCCCATCAAGCTACCGCTGGCCGCCTCGCCCCTCCGACCAGTCGACCACTTCCAAGACCACCGGCCGACCACCAAAACCTCTCCAATCTCAATCGAAATTGGTCACGCCGTCGACACTTTGGCTGGCTCCATCAGCCCACCACCTCCCACCCTCCGGTTGGCCACCTCTTAGCGGCAGGCCAACAGCCTTCTAACCTCCGGTTAGCCAGCTTTCAAAGGTTATTTCTGCACAATCAATCGAAGGGTTATCGGACGACGGGCTCGAGCACGAAAAAAAGATTAAAATAATACTAATCGCTTTAAAATAATGACAACATTGTAATTTTA